CATTGTAAAGAATGGGTGTTCCAGAACACTTGATTGGGCTTATGACCAACAAGCATTCAAACAGAACAAGGGGACTGAATGGTTTAAAATCAGGAAAGGAGTGTGCCAGGGTTGTATTTTTTCACCATACTTATTCAATCTGCATACTAATCTGAGAAACTGGATTATATGAAGAGAAGCCTAACAAGGGAAGACTCATTAACAACCTGAGATATGCACACAATACAACCTTATTTGCTAAAATTGAAGAGGACTTAAAATACTTGTTGGTGCAGATCAAAGAGCAAAGCCTTTAGGATGGATTACACCTCAATATAAAGAAAACAGAAATCTTTACCAATGGAACAATAAATAACATCATAATAAATGGAGAAAAGATTAAAGTTGTCAAAGACTTCAACCATCAACACTCGTGGAAACAGCAGTCAAGAAATTAAATGACTATTGCATTAGGCAAATCTGCTGCTCAAGACCCTTTTAAAGTGTTCAAGAACAAATACAATAGTTTGAGGACTAAGGTGCACCTGACCCATTTTCAATAGCTTCATATGCAAGTGAAAGTTGGACACTGAATAAGCAAGACCAGAGAGGAATTTTGAGTTATGGTTGCAGACGAATACTGAAAGTGCCATAGACTGCCAGACAAACAAATCTGGAAGATGTACAACCAGAATGCTCCTTAGAAGCATGGATGGTGAGCCTTCATCTCTCATTCTTCATGCATATTCTCAGGAGAGACCCATTCCTGGAGAAGGATCTTATGCTTGGTTAAATGGAGCAGCCATGAAAAAGAGGAAGTCTCCAAGGAGATGGAGTGACATCACGGCAACAGCAACAGGCTCAAATGTAACGACAGTTGTGAGAATGGTGCAGGACCAGGTCATGTTTCATTCCGGTGTGTGTCGGGTCGCTATGAGTCAGAACCAACTTAACAGCAGTAGACAACAAAAAGGAAAGTAAATGCTATGGATGGCAATTATACTTTGTCTGTCAGTGTTCTGGAAACGTCATCCGGAGGGAGCAATTGCTGGAGCGGACGTCATGTTTGGTGAAGGAGGGTCAGCAAGGATGAGGAAGACCCTCGGCGGTCAGATGGATGGACACAGTAGCCATTTCTATCAAGTGATATCTTTATTTGCGTTGTGTTTCCTAATTTTCTGTTGCTGGTAGAAACATAATTTATTTGCATTGATTTTTGTATCCAATGTTAAACGGGCTTACTGATTCAAATGCTAACTAAGTGCAAAAGTATCTCATCTGCAAATAATGGCGGTCTTCCTTTCAGACTGTGGAGTGGACGCTTTTTGCCTCAGGAGCTTGGTCAAGAAGTCCAGTCTCAGAAGTCACCTTGTTCCTTTCCTGCTGTTGTGAAGGAAAAAGTCACGAAGTCTTTTTGACCAAAACTGTGTAATTAAATTTAACCCAGTTTTTACTGAATTTGACTGTTTTTTGTTGTTTTTTCTAACTGCCTGCCTGGAACTAGGAATGAGCTCTTCTGACCGGCTTCTGTTAGCTATGGTAATTGATGGAAGCCGTACATAAGTAAGAGGCTGTTTTTTTGTAGTCAAGCCAGGATGTGGAAGGACTATACGTTAAGAAAGGAGATTTTAACTCAGATACCTTGGTGCAAAATGGCCGTAAGAAATCCTCCTTTCATGACAAGCATATAGAGGCAAAGTCTCAAGAAAAAAAACCTTGAATTGTTGACTCTTTTTGTAAAGTTTCCTAGGCAACCAAGAAGGTTTCGCTTAAACAAGCAATTTCTAAAGAAACAGCCTTGGTGTCAGTTCCTATTACCAGCTTCAGCTCAAAGAATGCCTTCCATCAACTTTGACATTTGTACCGACCTGTTCTGAAAAGTATTTACTGCAAGCATTCTGCTATTTATGATGGTAAATAACAGCTTTACGGGAATGTTATTCCCACCTCTAGCCCCTCCTGCTGTGACCTCATCCCAAACTTAACCAGATAAACTACTGCATTATCATTTCTTTGTTTCCTTTCCCAAATTGTATTAATCTCTGTGAGAAAATTTTAGTTGAAGTCATCAGACTGAAGTTGTCAAAGACTTAATTTTGCTCGGATCAACAATCAACACTCATGGAAGCGGCAGTCAAGAAATCAAATGACGTATTGCATTAGGCAAATCTGCTGCACAGGAACTTTATAAAGTGTTGAAGAGCAGATATGTCAGCTTGTGGACTAAAGTGCGCCTAATCCAAGCCACTGAATTTTCGATCACCTCATATGCATACGAAAGCTGGACAGCGAATAAGGAAGACCACAGAAGAATGGATGCATTTGAGGTACAGTGTTGGAGGAGAATATTCAAAGTATCATGGACTGCCAAAAGAACAAACCAATCTTGGTTGGAATAAGTATAGCCAGAATGCTCCCTGGAAGCCAGGATGGACAGACTTCATCTCTCATACCTTGTACACATTATCAGGAGGAACTAGTCCCTGGAGAAGGGTATCATGTTTGGTAAAGTGGAGGGTCAGAGAAAAAGAGGAGGACCCCAAAGCCATGGATTGGCACAGTGGCAACAGCAATGGACTCAAATATAACAGGATAGTGATGAGGTTGGTGCAGGACCAGGCAGTATTTTGTTCTGTTATGCATCAGGTTGCTGTGGGTCAGTACTGACTCCAGCACCTAACAAAACAACAACATCAGTTCTCACTCACTTAGACTGGTGTCCCTCTGCATCTGGGTATAATGATTCTTTTTCTTACTCTGAATAAATTCTCATGAGTTTAGTTTTTACAGACTGAGTGTATTCTTCTTCCAACAGTCTTAAAGAAAGCATTCCACACAAACAGAATGGCTGTGGTGAGCTTTTTTCAAGTGATTCCTATGGAGTTAGGGACTCTTTCCAGCTTCCAGAGAGGGTTTTTTTTTTTTTCTCTCTCTCTCTCTGTCACAATTTAAATGATCATGTTTGCTTGTTTGTTTCCCATTTTTCTTAGGGTACATAATGTGTCAGGGAGTTCCACCAACCGCATCATAGATTTGATTTAAAAGCTACTGTGGACACAAGGTACTAAGAATATTATTTATCTGATAAACCAAATATGGAATATTATTATTCAGCCATAAAGATAAATGATACACACTACAACATGGATTTCTGGTGTGGTGTTGTGGATCAGCAATGAACTGTGAACCACAAGGCCAGCAGTTCAAACCCACCAGCTGGTCCTTGGAAACCCCATACAGGGTTGCCGTATGTCAGAACCAACTCAATGGCACTTCACAACAACCTGGGATTGGAGGGAAAAGGGGACTGGGAGCTATTGCTTATGGGGTGCTAAGCTTCTGTTTGGGATGAAAGCTTAGTTTTTGGAAATAGTGGTGACGCCAACACAAGATGTAAGTGTGATCAATGGCACCAAACTGTCCACTAAAAAGTGGGAAATTATGTAAAATAGAACCAATTTTTATAATATAGCGTTTATCAGTAAACCCTCAAGTGAGCCCAATGAAAGTGTTAAAGACAATTCTTTTCTTCTATAGCATCGTAAAACTCTCTGAAGTTCTCAGATCTGAGAAGAGCAATGCTCCGGGCAGCTACCGGACACTCCCAGCTCCACACACGAGCAGGGACAGGGACATGCACGCTGGTGGTCCTTCAGCCCCTGGAGAATGCAGCAGACCAGTCAGTCTCTGGCCCCAGTGTCTCATCCCAGTAACGTGTACACACATAAGGAACTACATTCTAGTGAACCCAGTGTGCATATGTCTCCCTTCCCAGACACTCACGTTTACTGCCGACGGATTCAGGACAAGCTTACATCCAAACCAAATTAAGCAAGTCGTTGTGACAGCAAATGTGGAAACAAATAATATCTGAAAGTTGGGAATCTGGAAAACAAGACAAGAGAGTGTTTCCCTTTGAATAGCCAAGTTCTAGGTTGCTCAGCACAAAGGAATCAGCAGTCTGGCAGACCCCTGCAGGCTTGGGCCCCTCCAGGGCAGCCCAGTAGTCTAGGGGCAGTGGTTTTACCGTGGGGGGGCGGGGCTGCTGTGGGCTTCCCCTCCTCACTCTCTTCATCCCTTCAACTGTGGAGCTATGCTCACCACCACACACACAAGTGCACATGCTCACTCATGCACAAATCACTTGCAAGAAGCCACCATGTGCACACACACATCCTGTCAGCCCGGCGGAGGGCCAATCCACTTTCCTGCCTGGGAGCAGCAGGTCCACGTGAAAGGCACCAGACAAACCGTAGAACTCACCACGTTGACACTTCTCCTGGAAACAGTGAAGCTCACAATGGCTGCAGGGACGCACTGGGGAGGAACCCAGAGAAGAGGGGGCATCAGTGCACTGAGCTCAATGCTGCTCACACCATGTCCTGTGATGACTGAGCTTCCAGAAAGATCCAAATCAAATCAGCAAAGTGTCTCTAATCCCCTAGAGCAAGGGGACTGCAGACACTGTGCATGGGGTCTCTGCAGATGCTGGGTGGGGGGTCATGCAGATACTGGGTGGGGGTCTCTGAAGAAGCTGGGTGGGGGGTCTCTGCAGATGCTGGGTGGGGAGTCAGGCAGACACTGGATGGGGGTCTTGCACACACAGTGAACTCTGGATGGGGTGGGATAGAGGTGGGTTCTGCTGTTGTTAGGCACCATCCAGTCCATAGCGACTCTGTCCATGACAGAACAAAAACCTTGCCCAGTCCTGTGCTAACCTCACAATCGTTGCTACATTTGAGCCCGTCGCTGCAGCCACTGTGCAAATCCATCTCGTTGGGGGTCTTCCTCTTGTTCTCAGACCCTCCTTTTTATCAAACATGATATCCTTCCCTAAGGTCTGGTCCCTTCTGACAATATGTCCAAAGTATGAGAAAAGAAGTCTGGCCATCCTGGCTCCCAAGGGTGCTTTTTTGGCAGTCTATGGTACTTTCAATATTCTCCCAAACTACAACTCAGATGCATCAGTTCTTCTACAATATTCACCAACCAACTCTCGCATGCATATGACGTTACTGAAACTACGTTGGCGTGACTCAGGAGCACCTTAGTCCTCAAACTGATAGCTTTGCTCTTTAACACTTTAAAGAGGTCTTGTGCAGCAGAGTTGAGTAATTCAATACGTACTTTGATTTCTTGCCTGCTGATTCCATCAGTATTGATGGTTGATCTGAGCAAATGACGTCTTGACAACTTCAATCTTTTCTCCATTTATATGATGTTGTTTATTGGTGAGGATTTCTCTTTTCTTTGTATTGAGGCACACCTCATACCGAAGGCTGTGCTCTTTGATCTTCATCAGTAGGTATTTTAAGCCCTGTTCACTTTCAGCAAGCAAGGTTCTATCATCTGCTTATCACAGTTTGTTTAACGAGTCTTCCTCCAATCCTGATGCCACATTTTTCTGCATATAACTAAACTCCTCAGATTATTCGCTCAACATACAGATTGAATCAATACGAGTGAACGAATACAACCCTGGCACAAACCTTTTCTAATTTTAAACCATTTGGTGTTTCCTTGTTCTGTTCAAACAACTGCCTCGTGGTCTATGTACACGTTCCTCATGAGCACAATTAAGTGTTCTAGAATACTCATTCTCTGCAATGTTGTGTAGTCAATAAAGCACAGGTAAACATCTTTCTGGTATTCTCTGCTTTCAACCACACTCGATCTGATGTCAGCAATGATAGCCCTTGTTCCACGTCCTCATCTGAATCTGGCTTGAACTTCTGGAAGTTCTCTGTCACTGCCTGGCTGTAGCCATTTTTATATTCTCTTTAGCAGAATTTTGCTTGCATGTGATATTAATGATATTGTCCAATGATTTCTGCATTCTAATTGGTCACCTCTCTTTGGAATGGATCTCTTCCAGTCAGTTGGCCTGGTAGCTGTCTTCCAAATTTCTTGGCATAGATGAGTGAGTGCCTCCAGTGCTGCATCAGTTTGTTGAAATATTTCAATCTGTAGTCCATCAATTCCTGGAACCTTGTTCTTTGCCAATTCCTTCAATGCACCTTGTACTTCTTCCTTCAGTATCATTGGCTCTTGATCATATGCTACCTCTTGTAAGGATTGATCATCAACCATTTCTTTTTGGTACAGTGATTCTTTTCATCCTCTTTTAATGTTTTCTGCATCATTCAGTATTTTGCCCAGAGAATCCTTCACTATTGCAAGCCAAGGCTTGAAAGGATGCTGGAGATCAGTTCCCTCAGCTTGAGGAATACTGAGTTGTAATTAAATAACCGAATACTTTTGGTTTTCTAATTATAGGTCTTTGCACATTTCATTATAATATTTTACTTTATCTTCTCAAGTGCTCCTTTGAAACTATCTATTCAGCTCTTTGACTTCCTCATTTCTTCCATTGGCTTTAGCATCTTTACACTAGAGAGCAAGTTTCAGACTCTCTTCTAAAATCCATTTTGGTCTTTTCCTTCTTTCTTGTCTTCTTATTGACCTTTTGCTTTCTTCCTGCACGATGTTCTTGATGTCATCCCACAACTCTTCTGATCTTCAGTCTCTGTTGTCTAGTGCATCAAATCTGTTCTGCAGTTGATCTCTAAATTCAGGTGGGTGTGTTCAAGGTCATATTTTGGCTCTTGTGGAGTTGCTTCAATTTTCTTCAGCTTCAGCCTGAACTCACATATGAGCAATTGATGGTCTGTTCCACAGTCTGTCCCTGGCCTTGTTTTGGCTGATGATACGGAGCTTTTCCACCATCTCTTTCCATGGATGTAGTCAGTTTGATTCTGTGTAGTCTACCTGGTGAGGCCCATGTGTATAGTCGTCTTTTACGTTGTTTTTAAAATGGATTTGCAATGAAGAAGTCATTGGTTTTGCAAAATTCTATCATGTGATCTCCAGCATTGCTTCTAGCACCATATTTTCCAACTGCTGATCCTTCCTCTTTGTTACCAACCTTTACAGTCCAATCACCAGTAATTATCAATACATCTTAATTACATGTTTAATCTATTTCAGTCTGAAGAAAATAGTAGAATTCTTCAATTTCATCATCACTGGCTTTGGTTGGTGGGTAAATTTGAATAAAAGTGGTATTATCCTATCACAGACAGCTTTGTACTTTAAGACAGATCTTGAGATGTTCTTTTTGATGATGAATGTGATGTCATTGCTCTTTGTCATTGCTGGCATCGTAAACTATGTGGTTGTCAGATTCAAAATGGCCAATACCAGTCCATTTCAGCTCACCAATGCCTAGGATATCGATGTTTACGCATTCCATTTAATTTTTGACAGTTTCCAGTTTTCTTAGATTCATATGTTGTGTGTTGCGTGTTCTGGTTATTAATGGATCGGTGCAGCTGTTTCTCTTCATTTTGAGTTGTGCCCCGTCAGCAAATGTAGGGCCCTAAGGCTTAACTCCTTTTAAGTCATCACGGTCAAGACTCCTTTGAGGTGGCAGCTCTTCTGCAATCATATTTGGAGAACCTGCCAGCCTGAGGGGCTCATTTTCTGGCACTCTATCTGACAATGTTCTAGTGCTCTTCATCGTGTTTCAATATGTTTCTGGTGCTGAGAGTTTTCCACTGTTGAATAAGGTTTTTAGTGACCAAATATTCAGAAGTAGTCCATCTCTCCTTCTCCCTAGTCTGTCTTTGTCTGGAAACTCATCTGAAACCTGTCTACCATGGGGGACCCTGCTGGTATGTAAGATACCCATGGCACAGCTTCCAGAATCACAGCAACGTGCAAGCCACCACAGTGGCAGAAATAGGATGGGATAGGAGGTGGGTTCTGGGGGCACACATGGTGAACTCTGGATGGGGTGGGGTAGGAGGTGGGCTCTGGGGACACAAACGGTGAACTCTGGATGGGGTGAGGTAGGAGATGGGCTCTGGGGACACACACGGTGAACTCTGGATGGGGTGGGGTAGGAGGTGGGCTCTGGGGACACACACGGTGAACTCTGGATGGGGTGGGGTA